TAGCGTTTCGCGGTCCGAAGGAACACAATCAAGCGTTTTGTCCAGTGTAACCACACATCCTACAACAACTTGTTGATGACTGTAACACCAATCTGTCATTATATCTAAAACAATATTTCTTAACCTAATTCGTGTATTTTTAGCCTCACAAGGCACAAGATACTCGGCGACTTTGGTATCCTAGCGCTTCACCAGTACTTTGAAGTTCTTATTTCGTATCTGCTGCTATCGACAAGCATTCGAGTTTTTTACAGAGTATTTACCATACTAAATCTTCGCTTTACCCTGTCTGTCCGGATAAGTTGGTAATTATGCCATGCACTCTCACTTATTACGCACCCTTTCGGCTTCATTGGGTGCACTACACTCGCTCCTCTCTATAACAGACAACTTTGTGCCCAATTTCTTTCAGCGGTCTTTCAAATAGTTTTTTACAGATAGTGTAAAATTTAAAAGTGGCACGGTCTTGTAACGACTTAAATTTAGTTTCAGGAAATTTGAAGTTGCGCTACAGAACATGTACCTATTTCCAATGATATGTATCGTTTGTTATTTCTTATGTTGTCTCTCACGTCAAGCTGTTTTGCGCCAACATCCCGGAACTTGCGAAAAACTCCTGACAATCCATCCAAATCTTACCAAAAGATACGCGTGTCTCTATATGAAGGTTCGAATATAAAGCGCAAAAGCTGGCAGCACTTTAGTACTACTTTTGCATTGGCAGGCTCTTGATCTTCGTCGCTTTTGTCTTCCGCGGACTCCGCATCTGCTTTAATTAAGGCATCGTGGTCTTCGTGAAATTGCTCGTGCTCCTCGATCTCCAGATACTCTTGCATGCTTATGCCTGATGCTAGGTTTTTATTCATATCAGCCAAATTGCAGCAGTCTTGTTGAAAGGGAAGGCTGTGCTTTCGATCATCGTTTGTGCACGCTAACCTGCAACCTGTTTTGCTTCGATCATCTCACTCTTGAACGAAGAAACTTCAGATGAAAAACCGCACCAATACTGTTCCATTTCCCAGCTGCAAGCTTAATGGCTTTTAGCACAATAAATCTGCTCTCTAGGTTCTATTCAATCAGATCCATGTGCCATCACAAATGAGATTCTTATCAAGCGTTCAACTATCCGATAATATTTATTACCATTTATGTAGGTGCGAATGTACAAATCATGATATTGATAGGTAATTTCATCGAGCGGTCGAGTAATGAGAGTCGTGTTAGGCGGGAAGAGACCACAGAGACGTTCTTGAGTTCTCGTCGGTCTATGCAACTATAGTTGTTACAGAGAAAGAATTGTTATTTGTGACCATGTAGTCAAATATTTAATTGACGCAGCCACTGATCAACAATGATTTTAGTAACCTAGCGCTTGAGTTTGCAGCGCACACGATGCCACGCTACAACCACGGGCACGAGATTATTGAGCCGTTTGCGTTTCAGCACATAAAACTGTCATTCGTGAATTTACGCTCATTTTTCCATTTGTCCAGACTAAAGAGAGAATTTTTACGGTGGCAAGTCGTAATATAATTTGTATCATCAATTATAAATGCATTACTCGCTATTACGTAATTAAATCGAAGATTATATTTTAGACTTTTCTACTTGCACTTCCTTAGCACACAAGCTCCCTCTCTTGCTAATTAATGAGGCGGCTTTGATATTGTTTTGCATCTTGAAACTTTGTATCCAGCCTTTGGAAATGATAAGATTATGATGATAGATATCTTGGCTCATTCGCAGTCGCTCTGCTTCTACAGAACTAGATCTTTAGATAGCCCTTCGCTCTCGTGATCAAAATGCATATCAGCAGCTCCTTCTTGAACTAGGGATGCTTCACCCATGTCGTTGACTACTCAATTTACGCATGAGCCGTCAATTTCTGTTTCATTCGTGGCCATAAGCCGATGCGCCATTGATTTACTTATGCTGTGCTAGAACTGAATGATACATACGTCTGCACTTTGCTTAAGAATTATTTGGACTTTCTTTGCACTGTTGAAAGACATTGTACTTCTGCTCGAGTGAGAGACATACTCGCTTGGTTATAATATTGGTGCGCGGGATTGATGTCGAAAAAAGGTAAGGTCAACTGGTGGACGTGTTGGATCAGTGGCGTAGTGGAGTAGTTATGGAGCCTACATATTACTTTACGTTTTCTATTGCCTTACAACATGATCAATTTAGTCCTCTGTATTTCTCTTCATGACTTCATCAGTAAATAGTGCGTTTAAGCCCGTCCATTACGGCATGATTTATGTCTTTCCATGAGGTCACGTCCGAGATCCTATGACGTTGATCAATGTGCTTAAGGTTTTGGCAAATTCGACTGGTGCAAAGATCACATTATGTAAATCGCGTTTCTTCCGAGAAGCGTAAGAAGGGGTAGCGAGTTACATAGAGAGGGTTTCTACACCAATGGGTGAGTGTTCTTCTCTTCCTATTTCTTACTCTCATACGCACGGAACAGTAATAATTCCTAAATGTTTGGAAATGTTCGGCGACATTGTGGCTCATATAGAGAGGGTGTCTCGTATGAAGAGTCTCGAATAGAGAGGGGTGAGTGTATTCTGATTATTAGCTCATCACATAAATCATGCTATGGAAAAATCACATCAAATCTCTGACCGCACTTAGATTATCTTTTGATTGCATCAACCAATAGGGTGAGCATGATGATTTGTAAATCTTTAGAAGGATTATGAAAAACAAGCGACACGCCTTTAACAACGAGTGGATAGTCTACACGCGGAAAAATGGCCAATCAAAACATGGCGTACGTCGTTGTCTGCTAAAATAGAAATAATTAGATGATTAAAAAAGTAATATAAACTGATCTGACATTGAGACATAAATTAGTACCGGGCGAGGTATGCTTGACGAGCGTGAAGGGTCGCAGCCCGCGACACGAATATTAGCAATTACGCCAGTGTTAGCCCCTGCACAACGACAAAATTACGGCAATAAAAAGCGATACAACGGAGATAGTCATGCATCCTGGAAGCCCCAACAAGATTGGAAGACATGATTGCCCTAGGAGTGGCCGCTACCGATCGCGATTCCATCTACACTGGTTAGTGGAACTATGGAAGCCGATGAGAGTACGGCACAGTAAAATTACCACTGATGTTTTGTCTAATGATCCGATGTTAGTTCTTAGAAAGAAGGACATACACGTGAGCACAGCCCACTCGTTTTGTTGAACTTTGACTGAGATCTAGTACTTAAGGTGACCGGATGCGATTGTGTCCTCTCTGTGCATATTGCACACACAACTTCTTGTTACGTGGAGGACAACCCCGTTCAGCCGACCGTTGTACAGTAATCGCACAGCCATTCTTAAATGCACAGGCGTGATCAGCGTCCTTGGCGAGATTTAGATTGTATTTGGTGACTGCTATAAGGGGATTATAGGAGACGAACTAGAGTCACTCATTGTGGTCTTTTTAATGGATGCGATTTATAGGGCAGGTGTGACAGTCAGTCTGAGCCTCTCATATAATGCGCTATTGGCTGCGGTACAGCAATGGTTATCGAAAAAGTTGTGAATGAAGGAAATATGTGTGGGAGGCTGTTCACACACTGGTAGACTATCCGCTTATTTTTGCGGCCATCCACTGGTTTGCGGCTATCTACTTGTTATTTAGGCGAGTTGCTTGTTGTTTTAGGGCCCCCAAACCTTTACTAGTGAGCCAAATCGGACAAATGCAATATATATAACCAATCAGGGAGCGGATGGACAAGCAAAGCTCTCACAAACACTTCTCCGACGTATCGGGTCGGATGGAGTAGTGCTGTTATGGTATGGTATCACTTGACAAACACCAAGTCACTCGCATAGTTTGGAAAAAAACATCAAAGCTCCGACTTCTCCGACGAATGATGAGTCTGACCAACGTAGGCAGCAGTTGTGCAAATTGAAGTGATAGCGCAAAGGTTACGAATACGTGAACCAAAGGTCATTTCAGGAGATGTATTCCTTCTTCGTCGAGCAGATGGAGGGGTGGGCTGATTAAGGGATTTTGCCGTGCTTGATTGCCTTGACTAGAACAAGTACGCCTCAGAGAAAGACCCTACGAAAGCTCGATATCCAGAGTTCATGGCTTCATCAATTTATAATGGCACCGGTCAATTCGAACGAGCGAGCAGGCAGCTGATCGACCGGGGTGGAAGCACTATCGTCGCAATGCGCGATCACTTTTATAACCATCGATCGCTAATTCGAACACCTGAAAGCCCCCCACATTGCCAAAACTCTATTCTGAATAAAATGACATGTGAGGGGGCTAGATCACTCGAAAATATGGGCACAACTCGCCCAAATGCGCTAATAATTGTCAAACGGGAGGTGCGCTTCGTTCTTTGGGTTTCACCGCTTTCAGTTCATCAATAGTTGGTTGTTGTATTGCAAGGCTAGGCATGTAAAGGAGGACGTTACCTCTACTCACCTTCTTCCGAATCAGTAGACATTGCTCGTCTGAGTGCTACCCAAATGTGCACATGCATCGCGCTATTAAAGTCATTTTTATACCAGACCGGGTGGCATCATCTTGTTGTGCATGCCCTTTCTAGCAACGTCCACGCAATGACAACATGGTAGACTAGCACAATCATGCCTGCATCAAAATCGCTTGTGCTGCATGAAGCAAGCCAGTGGGTTGTAAATACAGAGCCTGGCGCGATACCAGGTACACAATAGAACTGCCTACGCACAAAAATCTGCAGAGCTTATCATGTCATGAACGATTCATACGACAGCTACTGATTGGTCTTCTTATGACAAACAAATAAAACTAGGCGTAGTAGCCGACCGCAGAAGTCCTTGTAGCACTGGATATGGCCTTGAGTAATTGATCGATCGTGTACCGCGCTCTCTGCAGCCTGCCCGTCGATCCGCCCCTTGTGTCTTTCCTCAAACTGCAGCCAGCCCGTCGATCCGCCCCTTGTGTCCTTCCTCAAACTGTAGTACCAGTCCTTTAGTGTTCCGACGGTGCTGATTACCAGTAATAGCTGCTGTCTTCGCTGCTGCTGTCCTCTTCGACAATGACATGGTCGTCCTTATTACCGTAACTTCCGTTCGAAAACGTGTCTCTGAAAAGGTAGCCACGAAGACTCTTGTGGCCGGACGCATCCTGCTGGGCTTGGTCCGATTTCAGCACTGCTATGCTTTCTACCGCAAAGGCATCGCCACGGGCAAATAGACAAATCACTGCCAAGGCCGCCAAATACGAGAAATGCAACACACGCATATTCAAAGCAGATTTAATTAATGGTGCAGAGAAAGATGTTCCTGGATGCGAATTCGATTATGTTGATTGAACCAAGTGTAACTGTACTGATTCAAACGGACTCGTGGAACCAGAGCGAATTTCATAGAAGAGGACAATGTGGCTCTGATTCAACGGTCACCATTGTCTCGTTCGAGCAGTTTCATCAGCTAGTTCTAGGTACTATGGTACTATGCAGCAATAAAGACTGGGTGCTTTTCTCTGGCCACTCTTAACCTTTGTAGTCTCAGTATCGGGTGAAAATCCGGACGAGAGTGCGCACGGAGACTGCTCATGATTTGTCACCGTGGGCGAGAAATCACGAAAGCGCCTAGCCTTAGTCCTTCGACAACAAGGCAATTTGTTGAGGAGTTGGCGTCAGCTGCCTGCTGTAGTCGCGAGTCCTCGATCCACATGCACCTCCCACCACTTTGGTTTTATGTGCTCCAGATTCACAAAATGTGGAAACAATTCGTGCACAACCCGCTACGTGCTGTGGTTCAACTTGGGTTCTATTACGTCCCAATTTGCGCCTTCGGGCAACAACGGCTAAGCGACAAAGATCTCCAAAGAGCCAGGCGACCGCCACCTTACCCTGGGTGTGAAGTTCTCTATGGTGGGGCCCGGATTAAAGGAGGGGGGCCTTCTTGCCGCTGCGTGCGCTACGGAAGCTAGCGCAGCGTGCAAACCGAACGGGGAGCAACGACTCAGACACCCCGGGGTGAGGGGTACGGCAACAGCGGTGTCATTCCCCCACACCTAGTACCTACTATTCTACATCAGCGTTCGAGTTGTCAGCCCGGTCGCCGAGCATGACTCCCGAGCCCCGCGAAGCGATCTTGCCTAGAACGTGATCAGGGTCGGCTCAGTCCAGGTGCGTCAGCGGCCCATCAGGGGTGATCGGTCTGGTCCCCGGCGTTTCCTGTGACTGTCTGCACCCCGGACTGGATAATCGATTCTACGTGCCCTCTGCGAAGTGTCTCCGCGATGACTGAAGCCCGAGCCAATCAGACTAAGGCAGCAAGGAGAAGATGATGTAGTTTGGGCAGCAGCACATCGATATCGTAAAGGTCATAAGCACTTAAATCGACGTTTAAGATTCTAAAAAACCTGGGTTCTACAACTGATCAGATGTGCACTACATCGGCTTTCAGATAAGCCGATGGGCTGACCTCCATCGACTTGCGGATCTGTCGCCGATGGCTCGACTGGAACATTGAACAAGGGACACAATATTAAGAGTGCCCGCCGTGACGCCCGACGCCTTGAGCCAGCAGAATGAGAAAGCTAGGAGTAGTCAGACTGTGCCATAGTGTTTATCACAAAACCAGATATGTTATTAGTGATAAGTAGCTATAATAGACAGTCTGAGCCTCTCAACAAGGGACACGACATGACGAGACGATGGAATTTTTTATGCGGTATGATGGTCCGAATTGCAAAAGCGATTGATTCCAAAAGGACTGAGCAGGTCGTCGATGCTTCGATTTTCCATTCACCTTAATGGGAAAGCTTGTCGTGAACGGTCAGTCTTCTTGAAACGTTCGACGTTGTTTCTTCAAAGCTAGTCACTACTGCGTCGAGAGCGAGTTTGCAGTTCAAATTGTCATCTTTGTCAGGCGGCGCTATGGTCTTCAGCCAGTGGATTACGCGCAATTTAGTCGCGACTGGATGTTATTGGTTTGGCCATGAATCTGCCTCTTGAGATAACGGACAGCGATGTGAAACCGTAACCGGTGCTTTACGTACAGTTCAATTCGATGGCCCGATAGTGTACAACAGCAATTCAATGTGTGGAGCTATTCAAATATTAGTCACGAAATTATTGAAAAAATAACAAAATTCTAAAATAAAATATAAAATAAAATATTCTTTGACAATAATTAAGGAATAAAAAAACCTTTTAAAAAAATGAGAACAAATATTAATAAACTCAGTTTTTAACTCAAAAAAATCTAAAATTAGTAATTTTAACAATCTCAAATATATTTTTAAAATTTAATTTTATATCCTGATACGACGCGTGACTCGGTCACGTGCTGCACAGATTATTTCTGTAACGGGGTGAATCGTTACATAACAATTTATAAGAAATTGTTAATAGAATATAACTATAAGAGTTATATTCTCAGAATATTGTCATAAGGACAATATTCTGTAGCACTTCCAAGTAGTTCCTAATTGGTTGAGTTAGGCCATTATATCAACCAACGAAGACGCGCCACGACAGGCGCACGCAATGAGTGGTGAGCAGATAACTGATTTACACATTTGTATTTAGACATAGTTAGATGAAGATAAATAGTGATTTATTGCAGACATTAACTATTATAAATACAGTTCTGCTTTTTACTCTAACCAAGTACTCGCTTCTTCTTACCGTCTTCCTCTGCACGTACGAGTGTACGTGAAGTTCCGAGGCACCGCCTTATTCTGTTACCAGAATAAGTAGCTTGTACTGTCACCAGTACAAGCTTCAGGGTGCCCCGTTACACCTGGTAGCACTTCGTAGTCCGTCCAAGGACCGCGTTCACATCCAACATGAATATGTTGGATGATGAAGATGACCAAAGCTTTCACGCTACGCGTGACGGCTACTCCCATTTGAGCGATGTCGAATGGGATGCGGCTGAACGGATGGGTTCGACCATGGGCATCCATGCTGTTAGCGTCATGCTAGAGGCTCTCAATAGAGATGCCCAACATGCTACTATCGCCAAGTTCATTCAAAATGAACTTGACGCAGAACGCGAGAAAGTAGCCTTGCTTCACCAACAAGGTTCTCAACAAGCAGAGTTGTTGAGAGAACAGGGTGCTCAACAGTTTGAACTGTTGAGACAGCAGCAGGCTGCTGCTGGCGGGTCGATGCACTCGCGTCGGCCCGAGACTTTGAAGATTGACATCTCAAAGTATAGGGGGGTCGAAGAAGACTCCCTCTTGAGATGGTTCGTCGAATTGGATGACGCCATAAGGGCGCGTCGCATCGACGACGGGGATATGCAAGTTGCATTTGCCCAGTCAAATCTGGCAGGACGTGCCAAGACTTGGGCACTGGGGCTCAAGCTGCACGACCCATACGCGTTTGGGTCGTTGGAAGTCTTCAAGTCGCGGCTCAGACAAACGTTTGAACCGCCTAGAGCTGAGTTCAGAGCTCGAACCGAACTCTTGAAGCTCAAGCAGGGTAAGCGTGATGTGCACGCTTACGCTCAACATATACGACATCTCACGAGTTGTATAAGTTCCAATCCGGTGGATGAACACACGTTGGTTTCGGTGTTCATGCAGGGTCTTGCGGATGGTCCCGTCAAGACTCACCTGTTCCGGCTTGAAATAGATTCACTAGAACAAGCCATTTCAATTGCGGAGCAGGAAGACTTCAGTCTGAGACAGGCTCGCGCCAGCTCGACATCATATCGTCAACCGAGACGATATGACAACGGAGGTCCAGAGCCGATGGAACTCTGTTATGTAGAGAGCGAGAAGGCTCGCTCTACAGGCTACAAGAAGTTGCAGAGATGCAACAGATGTCAAAAGACAGGACACTACGCTTACGAGTGTAGTGCCCCTCGTCCAGTGTCTCGCGACACTGGGCGTAGTGACCGTCCACCCATGAGAAAGGGGCAGGGACGAGGGTCCGCAGTTGGTGCAAAGACGCAACAACGGGATGGACCGTCAAAAAACGGACAGGATCAGTAGGTGCGGAGCACCCTACTGATCCAGCAACGTCAAGAGAATTTGTAGGCCTCTTGATGAAGGTTGCTCCCAACACACAGACATTGTGCGTTGCTGCTCTAGGTAATGAGATCTCACTCATTACCTTGAAACTCGAAGTGACGAATAAGTTGTCCCTTCGAGCTCTAGTCGATTGTGGGGCGTCCAACAATTTTGTGCGACGCCAATCGCTAGAAGATGGTCACTTTAAATTCAGTGAATGTGACACACCTCCTACGAGGATGACGGTACGTCTTGCGACAGGCGCATCCGTAACCGTCATGAAGCGTATAGTGAAGATTCACTATACGCTAGAAGATACCCAATACGACGATGACTTTATCGTATTGGATTTGGATGACAAATTTGATGTCATCCTTGGAATACCGTGGCTCAGAAGGTACGAACCACGGGTAAACTGGCAACATCGGACAGTAACGATGCCTGCCGCTTGTTCATCAGATGGCCATCTGATGAACGTTTTGGAGAGTCCACAAGCGTGTGGATGTACTACGAGTGAGTGCGATGGCCTCACTTGTGGTACGGTCGTTAGTACGACTGTACAAAACCTTAGTGTACCAAACGGTTACACTTCGGAGCAAAGTTCCGGCGGCTGTGAGGAAACACAGGCTGCGCCGAAGGTCCACCACTCGAATAAGTCGGGTGGACTGGGACAAAGATGTATCCCTAGCGGGGAACATCTAGAAGAGAAACAATCGATCGCTCAGGTTAAGCGAAACGATAATCCTAGATCGACTGGAGAGTCTTTCGTAGAGGATCTCGCTGTGGTTGCGCAACCCGGGCTAGAGGAAGTAAAGGGAATAAGTCCCAAGATTACAAATACGGCGGAAATAAGTTCCCCGAAACCCGCGGGAATAAGTCCCCGGGAAGACGAAGGAATAAGTCCTTCGAAGCCTGTGGGAATAAGTCCCCAGGAAATGACAGAGACATTGAATGTCATAGTCAATAACGGATCAAGTGTAGGCACTTATACACTTGATCTGATTGCGCCTCCGAAGTTAACTTCGGAGATCACTCAGTTGCCAACGCTCGAACATAAAAGATTCTTGCGTGATCTGCGTAGTGGCAAAGTCAAGCAGATCTGCATACTCGTCGCTGAAGACGAGTATGTAACCGACATAAGGTCAGCAACAGTGTTTACTGAGAACGAGAGAGTTCTCAGTAGTTCATCTATGGACGAGAGTGTCCTAGATGAAAAGACACGAGTTGAGCGATATGACTCCCAATCGTGGGAATCGCTCAAGACAAAT